GGTTGGCGGGAAAGTTCTGTCACATTTTTTCAAATTAGGCTTTCTTTTTATAGAGAGGCGTGTAAGATCAAAATTATACAGCAATGTTACTGCGGGGTTCTTGCCAGTTTTTGAGCACCTCATGGATGCCATCGCCTCACAATGCAGGCCAGCGCGACGCAAAGTTGGACAACATCTCAATTTTGAATTGGGCTCGGGTTCTGGAGGTTTTCTTGTCCATATAACGGTCGAGTACGGGAGGCAACTCGCAGTTAGAAGGAGCAATGTCTGGGCTGCACCAGTGCAAGGGGAGAGCGATCCAGCTCTATTGTATGAGGTACGGCTCGAATTTTTTTGACGGAGTAGGCTGCACTGTCACGTTGAAGACGGACTGTGCGGACGAATTTTTCCCTCTGATCGAATGTTTTGCGTACGGATTGACCTGAGGAAGCAGCTTCTTCACCCAGCAGTTTCACGACCCGCAGCTCCCTCAATCTGAGTTCACAGGTAACCCAAACCTCACTTCGTCATCAAAACTGTAGGCTCCCGCTTTGAAGCATTAGCGTCTTGAAAAGTTGTGAGGGCATCGTCCTTATTCAGATCCATTATTTTGGCATCTGCAGCTATCATGCTGGCGTCAGGATGGTGGAAGAAAGAGTTTGAGGAAGCGCTTGGAGGGGTCGGTGCCGATGGTAGCGGATAAAATCCTTGTCCATATTGCAGAAGAAGAAGCAGGAGTCAAGCGAGTGGTACTAATAGAAAGACCACTCCTTGATGTATAAGTGCTCACATTACCGGTTACCCTCTCAGGTAATGGGCAAGTATTTTGAGTTCGAAAAGTGTGACAGAACTTTCCCGCCAACCTAATATTTGCAGCAGAGGTGTGTTTCGCGCCATAGCGCCCATACAATACATGAATCTGCAGATATAGATACAATGTGCTTTCGGCCAATACAAAGCAATATGAATCTCTCAGTAGAAGCAAATTCCATTTCCATTAATTGCACCGAAATGCAATGGCCCCTTATCCTTTCTTATCAATTGATAAGATTGCCTGTCACCCGTCATCAGTTCCCTATCACTAAAGCTCTATAATTTGGTAGTGTAAAGGCCCCAACACTTTGACTGAACAACAACGGCAACGTTCCTTATCAGCCCATATCAGCTGTTATCACCTCCTGTCACCCGCCGTCGATGTTCTCATCTCCCACTCTATATAATTTTCTGAAATCAACGCCTATCTGATGCTATGTCCCGCGTTACAGTATGGTGACAAGGTGCGATATAGGCTGAGGGACAGGAACGTGATTGGTGGCAGGGAGTGATATCAGTTAATAAGATCTGGTAAGAGGCATCAGAAGGTAAGGACCCACTATTGCTGTGACCCGCGCTATGGATATGTGACCTCCCCCTTCTAACGCCTCTTATCGAATCTTATCAACTGATATCACTTCCTGTCACCCACCAATAGTGTTCCCGTCACACCCCCTACATCACTTCTTGAAATCAATGTCTCACTGCTACTGGGACCGGCGCTATGAATTTCGTGACACACAGACAGACGCACACACAAACACACACACACGGACAGACATACTTAGCGAATTATATAGAGTAGGATAGTGGGGTAAGTTATCTACATTCAAAACATTGCCCTATAATACAAACTATACGCTCGCCTCCGTGGATCCTAGTACTTGCCGCATATGGCAACAATGGGTCCGCAGCCGCGGGAGCGCGCTACTTTCTACTTCTTCCGGTCAACAGTGCAAGAGAAGGGGACTGGAGGCTGCTGATGCTTGGATGTCCTCTCTATGCTCCGTTTGCGCTGCCAACGAGATACACCATAGCCGAACGCGCTATTTGTCTGCTTCTCGCTTCTGCTTGCTCTCTACTGCCCACTAAGTATGTGTTTCGCTGCGGGATCTTGTTATCGGCATAAGTACTGCACCTTGAGAAAATGCTGGCGGAGTGTGGACCAGGGCACAGCATTGGTTGGGGATTCCCTATGGGGGGGGGGGTCGTACCAGCCCCTGAAAAAAGGGGGGGTCGTAAAAGCTCGACCAAAATCCCCATCGAATGCTGTGCCCTGGTGTGGACACGTAGATACGCTTACATCACAGCCTCCTTCCCTTTGCAGTCACACTACTGCAGTCATAGACCACTGCAGTTAAGGACCCATTCGCCTCGCACATTGCAAAGGCCGTCTTTGGAGGTGAATTTACACTTTGCCCTCATATTGACGCCACAATGGCTAGGTTCGCAATTGTGTCCCTACTCAATTTTTTTGAGTACATGGTTCTATGCAAACCAGGGCACGCCATCTTTGTGATCATCACAACAGGGGGGTCGTATTTGCCCGCGATGGAGGGGGGGGGTCGTAAACGCATGGCCCATGTTGAAGTGGAGAGAGCGGTGATACACGGTACAAGTGAAAAGAAGCTCAAAAGGGACGATGTAGATGACAATAAAACTAGGCACTATCGAACTATTCCTAGGCCAAGAACTAAAAAAATATTGCTGAAACTTTTTCCTCCTTCCTCACAAAAAAAACTTCAAGACACTTCGCCCACCAACCCTCCTCATCTGGTCTAGATAAATCCCAATCCACTAATCCGCAAAATCTAGAAAAGAATCCATTGCAAAAGCTGTAGAAATGAATCCTGAGCAATTTCCTCACAACAAATCAAACTCAACAAAACAAAAACAATCAAATAATTCACAATCAAATGGATAAGAAAAAACTCACCAGGCCAGCTGGGAACCGGAACTATGGATTACTTTTGAATTTTGGCTGTTCGCGGTCAGCGCGCTCATACAAGCTCATTGGTGCGCGCTATTTTACGGCCTGGAGCCAATTTCAAGCCAAACACGTGAAAAGTACCCCTCATTTGAACACCCATAACTTCGTTGAAAGTGAAGCTATCGGGGGTAAGTGGGAATGAGTAGAGCTAGGTTGGCTCTTGTCACCTGAATTGAGCGATTTCAAAAACGTTCCGATTCCAGAGATTTTCCCCGTTGTGATCATCGTTGTGATCCGTCTGTGATCATTTTTGCGAACCGCGAGTCGCTACGCTTTGGACGTCCATGGCAAGCTTCATACACGGCCTTTCGTAAAAAAGAATTGTGCCGGAAGCTTGAAGATTTCTACTTTCCAGCAAGGCTTTAATTTTCTTCCTAGGCCTGCTATTCGAAAAAATTCCCCGTTGTGATCATTTCGTGACCCCCCCCCACGACACGAAAAATCAGCCCCTCCGAGGCCATGAAACCTCCAGTTGGCTTGAAGACTTTGGTATGCTTCTAAAACACATGTTTTCGCAAAGGGTATCAGGAAATAGGCCATTGGGCGCCAATTGGCATCACCTCTGCAATGCGCCATGCATGGGGCTTTCACGCAGGTGTTTGGAAGGTGTAACTTCTAGATAGGGCTTCCCAATTGCAAGCAAATGTGCTCCTGCAATCAGAAAAGTCCGGGAATGTACTTTCCGTCTGTTTATTCATCGTCAGTCGTAAGTCTTTATAAATTCATGGTGCCCTTGTGGGCGGTGATCGTAGCTCCTATCATCGCCCCTTCCTCGTACGTATTGTCAGTATGCTACACCAGCGCCAGAGTGCTGGACGTGCTTGGGACGTACGTAGGTACTGCGACCTCCCCCCTCGACAGCAAAATTTTGCAAAAAAACCAGAAATTTTTGGGAAAAAATAGACAAAGTGGTAGGAGGTTGGAAAAATCTAGGGAAGAGGTAACATGGGGAGGGGGTCGTACTTGAAGATGGAATTAGGGGGTCGTATTTTTATTTTTCAGGAAATGATCACAACGCAATGGCGTGCCCTGATTCAAACGCGATGTGTTCTATTCAACAAGTGTGTTGGCGGGTCCGAAGCTGAGTTGTTAGGGATAGGGAATACCTAACATCCGAAAACTCAGTTTCCGATTCCATGCTTGGTTGTCTTCTAGGAATGACGTTTTCCCTAGCGTCATCCGCCACTGAAGTCAATTTCAGAGGGTTAATGGGGGGGGGGGGTTACCCAGTTCAGAGGACGCCTGGTGAGGGCCTGACTTACATCAATTTTTGTTCCTTCGATGAACTTCGACTAAGAGAACTTTCTACCTATTTTACGGGCTGTTTGTTCTCTCATTTTAGCGTTAAGTAGTTAGTAAGAGGTACTGTAGTTTGTATTCGACTGTGTACAGCCCAAGTGATGTAAAAGTGCACCTGTGCGTGCACTAAATAAATGAATAAATAAACGTACTATTCGCTACCCTTGCCCTCCCCACCCCTACCGTACCCTTAACTAATCTCTGACCACTCCATCCCATTTGCCCAACCCCTTCCCTGCCCTGCTCCACTGCACATGCTCAACGTTCGCCTCGCGAAACGGTCCTTCCCTCCTAGCGATTCTCGTCAAGCCAATGAAGCATTTAATGGAAGGACATACATTCATATATACATACAGTCTTGTTCGCCGCAGATGAAGGGGCGTGTCAGTCGGGATGGATTGGTGCGGCCAATTGCCAATTTTCCAGCAGTTATTGAAAACAGCAAGCGACAAGACTGTATCACAACGTTCAGTTCACACGTTTTCCACCAGTTGTTGTTACTCACCCGCTTCAACAAGTGGCAGTGGATGGGTTTGACCGCGTGCCGAAGGCAGCCGCGCGGACACGCCTCATCAGCGGGGAACCATACTATAGATACGCACATACACAGACCGACAGAGGTTAGAGTTTACTAAATTACATGTACTGTCCTTCTCTAGTCTCTGCATTATTCTACACTGTAAATGAAACGTTTATTATACGTTCACGGATTCGGACTGAAAAACATGATTCTTGTGAGGCGCAAGAAGAAATCGATAATTTGAAGCATTTTCGTTAGGACGAGATGAAATCCAAACGAGAACGACACACTCTGATATAGACGAAAATATTTTGCAAAATGTAACGGACGTGTTATGCAAACATGGAAAAATAGAAGGAATAACAATAATATAATAGAGATATTTTTTCTTTCCACTATTTACTCCTCGATACCGTCATCCAGCATGCGACCTCGAGAGCTGCTCCGCGTGTTCACACCTGTGCTCGACATCTGAAATTCACAGTTTCTCGAGTTGTTGTGCGAAGAATAGCGACCCAGGAATAGGGTTACAGATTTCTTGATTTTCTGTTCTTTTCAATTCTGAAGACCCCCCCCCACTGAAACGCTTTTCAGAGTTACTCGAAGAAAAAAAATGATGATGATATTGTGCTCCAATCTCGAAGCTGGATCCCTCTCGCCTTATAAGGTCTGTTAGATGAGTAACAGTATATGAAGTGGTCTCTGTCTCTTCGCCAAAGACTCTCACACCTGGGCGCTTGGGTAGAGCAACATTGCAGGCGGCTAAGATGACGAAATAACCATCGATATGTTGTAAAAAAGTGCTTGGACCATTCTCGCCCAACCATTGGAGCGCTGTTGCAATGGAAGGCGAGAACGCAGCCGGCTACCGATCGGTGCTGGTCACTACTGTTTTGAGAATAAGGAGGGAGAGAATATAGAGAATAGGAGACGCACTTTGGCCAATGGACACAGCTGGTAACCGTACGCTCTCCCAAAACACTCCATCGATACATCAATGGCCGGCATCGATTTATACCCAAACTGCATGGCTAGGCAACGCGTACTCTCTTGTTCGCCCATACTTTATTCGAAGTCCCGAACAGAGGACTGGCGCGAGTTCAATTACCCGTCTACGGGCTGCGCTCCCTTTGGGAATGTGACGATATCTATAGGTGGATTCGCCATCACCGCAGTGGTGGGCGCGACCTGTGACCCCGCGGCCTCGGCGTTTGGAGGGATTCATCTCACGGCTACTCTAAAGAACACGTCGGGAGTAAGAGCAAATTCCTTGCTCCACACGACAAGTCGGGTGGGAATCGGCGGCAACTCCGACAATCCGCAAAAAAAAAATAACTCGCTGCCAGCGAAAGCGAAGTCCTCGCAAGCAGAAACTCATTAAGCTACACGACAGAGTCGTCCGTTTCCCGTCCCTCATATAGCATCGGAAAGTGTCGGCACAGCACGTCTTTGCAACCTGAACTTCACTGCTTCAGCTATTTACATTGGTCGCAAAGCTCGATCGAATGAGCGGACCAGATTCTTCCAATGTAATCCTTTAGGGCGCTGTGTAGGGGAAATCAGATCTACCAATGTGTTCCCTTTAGCGGCACGTACCCCCTCATCCATTCTCAAGGAGTGTTGCAGAGGTGATGAAGGCCCCAATACAACGCTGACTACGCCTATAAGACCATCAACTTTCAGAAAGATTTCTTCTGAATCGTTTTCTTTTGAATCTCCCTGAGCTTCGTGACTTGTCTGGCAACAGTATGCACAGATTGTCAACATTCAGAACGCGCAGGTTCAGTAATTACACGGCTGCCTTCCTGAGAGTTTGCTTGAGACGACGGGCTCGATGGGAGAGCGACATGTGAAGCCTATCTTCCGCCCCACAAACAGGCGGCAAGCACCTAGCCTCACTAGAAGGATCATAACATCCACAACTCCGTTGCTGGCGATCCCACCCTTGACCCGTTTAGGAGTCGACTCTAAAATTGGGTTCCCGTTGAAGTGCCTGGCTTAAGACATCCACCTAAACCAGGAAGCTAGGAGCTGTTCTGCTGAAATTCATGGAGAATACTTTTCCATAAAGGCTAATTTGTTATGTTCATGTTAGGATCTAAACCATCATTAAGTTTTACATTCAAGAAAAGAAGGGCCCTCGGAGGCATAGCGCAGAAAGTCATAAAATCTGCTTGTGACCGAATGCAACTTTCCTAGAGAAGGCTCATACTTACCGAATGTGAAAGCGCCCTATACGATCCGCTACGATTCTTCAGTCTCATTTTAGCTAACGCGTTTTCAGCCGCATCGGCACGTTCCTCGGCGTCTTCAAGAGCATGTTGAAGTTGGCGATACTTAGCCAAATTTTGTGCCTGCCAATCCTTCCTGAACTTAGTACTATCAATAAGTAATTGTTACAATAGACGCCATAGAAATCACGTCCATCTTGTGCTCGAAAGGCACAATACCCTTCTTTGATCTGAGACGGAAGAAAACTGAGCCAGCAAAGACGCAGAGAGGGTTCAGTATAAGTTGAAGGCGGTGGGCACGAATGCTGGAAGCGGATGGTTATCGCCAGAAGCATTGGTGGGAGAGCTGCGAGAGAGCATTTGGTCAACCCCACTTAGCCCTTCCACCAATGACGGTAGCGACAATCGTCCGCCTCCAGCAATCGTGCCCACTGCCTTTAGGTCGACAGCCTTACCGCGTCCTCCACTTGACGTTTATAAGTCTTGATTTTCTGTTGTAACTTTTCGATGAGATCATACATGCGCTCCTGTGACTTCTTATCCTCATCGACCTAAAAGATCCATTATGAAAGTGCACGACGAGGCTTTTGAAATTGCCCGAAACGTTATTCTGACCTGGAATTGGAGCTCTCTGCACCGTCTGTCTTTGTTTCGAAGATTTTTCACCGCTTCCGTATGTCGACGGCTTTCCGCCTCTAATTCAGACTCCAACTCACGACACCTGGAAATAGCAGGGATCAATGCCAACTAACACTCATACTGGAAAAATAGTGTCGTTTCTAAGAAATTGAGATGATGAACAATCTTGCGATGCCGCATCTACGTGTATGCTCTGAAACCGAAAGTAGCACGGTCTTTAAACAATAGCGTAGAAATCTTCGTCAAAGGTGAGAATAAAGTTGACATCGACAACTCAGGCGCCCCTAGCGGAATTAGCTGAGTAATTGTCCGTTGGTCCGCTCAACAGTAGAAATAGTGCCTTAACTGGGCGCAGTTTGCCGACGGGAGGGGGGGGGGCATTTTGCACTTTCGTTGCTTCACTAGTTCCGGTTTACAAGTCTCACTCTGGTGAAACCTGTGAACTCTTGTGAAGCTGGAGCAAGCTCGTCAAGCCATCATGGTAAAACCTGTCAACTCGAGAAGAGGCTGTCTAGATGGGTCGACACGTCGATGGGAAGTCGTTAAAGTGCAAAATGCCCCCCCGTCGCCAAACAGCGCCCTTCAACTGTATTTCTTGCACTGTTCTTCAAGTCCTTGAATTACAAGCCGCTAGTAAATCATGCATAAGGCTTGACTTAAAGGCAGTTGGCAGGATAAATCCCTAAGACTAGTAGGATTGATACGGCCTGGCAAGAAGGTAATCCTATAAGGGTCTCATTAAGCTACAACATACCGACTCTAAACGTCCGCCCGCCCACAGATAGAAGACCGCACCTGATGCTCGTGTAGTTTCATTTGCGAAGTGCAATATGAAGGGATTGATATGAAGCGGCTGCGGTGCTGCATGGATATATGGTACATACGTGCAGCCGTACCTACCGTAGCGGTCATTGGCAAGATGCCCAAGGGAAACGCGTCCAAAACTCTTTTTGAGTCCTGGGAAACAAGATCTTTTTTGCGGGTTTTCGGCCATTCCACTTCGTTTCTTCGCCATTTTCATCTTTATATAGGACCCTGCTAGCATTTTGAGCCGAGTACCAAATTATCGTGCCAACTGTCTTTAAGGCCACTGAAGCGATTCTTTAGACCCTCTTCCGAGATCTGCCAGATGTGCACCCACCCTCGCTGTAGCTCCTACAATACTCCTACATTGCGCACCTATTCAACGATAACCCGATTTGGGATGGAAAAATCAGATTTTCACAAAATAAGGAATTATGGGACAACTGATCACAGTCTCGTTCTCTGCAGACGCTGAAGCGTTTCAAGGGGCTGGACCTGGCGTGGCACCAGTCTGTTCTCCACCAATCGTGGTAGCGTTGCAGCTTCCACCATTGGTTCAGAACAGCGCCAAACCCAGCCCCCTGAAACGCCCCAGCTTCCGCGGAAAACAAAACTGCAAAACTTATTCACACCATAACTTCCCCTTTTTTTTTCTTATTGAAGACTGTTGTCAAAATAAGTGCAAATCAAGGTAGTTCTGATGAGAATGGTAAAATACAAGCATCTAGTTGTCGTACTTTGCATCCAACTTGGCCATAGCTCGTTTTCCACCCTTCATCGATTGCGCCTCGGCTTCATCAAGACGTGCTTGCATTTCCTAAATAACAGTGAATATAGAAAAGTATAGTCACTGAATTACCACTTTAGCTGCACATATTGACGCGCGCTCCAAATCAATGCTGAAAAGCTAACAAGATATTCTGATTTAATGTCACACACTGGCGAGGTCCGGGTGCCATTTGGTTCCCTTCCTTCTCAACAAAAAAACAGTCTCTCTTATACGCCGCGGTGCTGGCTGTGGCAAGGAGCTGGGTTCGCGGGCGCACAAATTTTCGTCCAAACGCTTGGCGAGAAGCCTTACCTCGTTCCCTAAGCATTTGCAAGCGCCCACGAACTGTGTTTTTGGTCGACACCACACACACATACGTCGCAGTGCTTTCAAATGTCATATGACTTGCGGCTCTGCCATCTCTACGAAGTGTACCCACTCAGCGGTCTGGTTCGTTTCCAGCCTTCGGGAAGATTGATGCCATCGATCTACACGGATCGAAAGCTTTTTCCCGAAGCAGCTGAGCAGAAAGGCATCACCTCTGCTCCAAGTTCGGAATTTGGACCTCACAAAGTTTGCAAAATTATGGTTTGCAGAACAAGAGACTGTGCAACTATGATCAAATTCTTTGTGTGAATTCTCTGATGGTATCTTCACTATGAATAACATCACAACGAAAATCACCTTTAATTGAGATTCCAGAGCTTTCCGAGCTTTATCGAGATTTTGGACTTGTTCATGTTCAGCTTGTAACTGTTCGGTGAGGCGCACTGCTTCAGCAGCGCTCTGTAAAATAAATCTATACATAGGACTGTTACCTATACATGTTGTCGACTGGGGGGGGGGAGCGTTATGCAGCAGTCGCATAACGCTCAAGTGCCATAAAATAGGATGGGGCGACGCACGCAGCTGTATTCGCACAAGGACCCAATCCACTCAACGTAGCAGTGATCCTCTCTCTGGTCTGCCCCTCTCAGGTCGCCTAGCTATATCTGTCCCTGAGCCTGTGACTGTCTAGGAAACTAGCCAGGAAATGCTCTGCTAGTGCGCGATGCCGCAAAATCTAGAATGTAAAGATCCACACATGTCCAGGGGCCGTTAATGAGGAACCTCAGGTCATATGGTCATAAGAACCCATGGATAGTGAATCATTCCAGTAATGGAATTAGCATCACTGGACAGGTCGGGAAAGTTCATGTGACTGAAGATCAACCCAACTGGTGTTAAGCAGCGGACAGCTTGATCTCTACGACACGCAACGCAGTCCAGTCGCAATGATCAATGAAAAATCAGAATTTTACGAACCTTTCGCGCGCGATCATCGGCGCTCTTCAGCTCACTGAGAGCGTCTTCCATTTCAGTGTGAAGTTGCTGAAATCACATGGTCACAGTAAAAGTCCAAGGCCGATGTTTGGAATGAGTAGTACTCTAGGCTGATCTCTATGTTCGTATTAGAATGAATGTAACTAGAACAAGCTAAAGTTGGCTAGTCTGACTTCTTATAATCATTTACGCGACAGACGATTAGGCGTGTCAGGCGGGCTGGATTTGGCGCGGCTACAGGCCATTCTCCACCAGTTGTGTTAGCTTGCCTGCTTCAACAATTGGTAGAGGACGGGCTAGCGCTTCGCCAACCCCACCCCCCCCCCCTGACACGCCCCAGTGTCTGCAGCGAGTACGACTGTATAGAGGACTACCTATTGGGAGCATGGCGGACATATAATCTACACTTACCTGAATCTCACCCTCCAGCTTCCTCTTTTGAGCACTCAAAGCGGCATTGGTGTTTGACAATGAGGCTGCTGTTTCCTTGTTGTCTGCACACTCAAACTCAGCCTGACGGCGGGATCGTTCGGCCTGAAACTGCAAATCATGGGAACTACCCAAAATAACCCCCCTCTCCACCTCAGTAGGCCTCACGTAGCCTGGAAACTATTTTGCTGTAGTATTATAGATAAGAAGGTGAAGTAAGGGAAATTTCCTTAAGGGCTTGGTTCCAAACCATTAATGTTATTCCGTCACCGGTGAAAAATTTTTTCAGCAATTTGGTCCCAAGACCATTAATGTTATCCCCTTATCAGGATGACCTAACGTCTGTCCCAATGTGATTGGAGTAGCCAGTTGATAAGGAGAGGCATTGGTTCATGTGATCCCTACAGCACCAGCGTGAAGCAATTAATAGTGAGGACCTGCTCATAAGCTACTGCTAAATCGTCTTTCTCCTGCTGGGCGATTTGAGCACGTCGTTCGGCAACCATAATCTGTTCGCGCGCCTCTTCTCTGAGTCGCTGTTCTTCCTCGACTTGTATCTGAAGATTTTGAACTTGACTTCCAAACTGTACTGTGATTAGTTTTCAAGCATTTCATCGACTAACCTGAAGGTC